CAAAAACAAGCCCTTCAGAACACATTTTACCAGAAGAATTCTATGTACTGATTGCTTTACAAGTATCTTCTGGTTCTCAGTCCACTTTAAAGAAACCCACATTGTAAATTGCAAATGATTTACTCATTCATTGAGGGAGCAGGGGAGGGGCAGAGAGCGAGAATCCCAAGCAACATTTTAAATTAACCTCCCAACTATATAGCTCTGATTATCAGGTAAGAGGCTTTTATTATACAGAAAAAGTTACGTAAAGATGTAGGTGCAAAATTGTTCATCAGAACTTTTTTTTTAAATTTATGTCTAAGTTAGTTAGCATCTAGTGCAACAATGATTTCAGGAGTAGATTCCTTAATGCCCCTTACCCATTTAGCCCATCCATCCCCCCCTCCCACAACCCCTCTAGTAACCCTGTTTGTTCTCCATATTTAAGAGTCTCATGTTTTTGTCCCCCTCTCTGTTTTTATATTATTTTTGCTTCCCTTCCCTATGTTCATCTGTTTTGTATCTTAAAGTCCTCACATGAGTGAAGTCATATGATATTTGTCTTTCTCCAACTGACTAATTTTGCTTAGAATAATACCCTCTAGTTCCATCCATGTAGTTGCAAATGGCAAGATTTCATTCTTTCTGATTGCCAAGTGTGTGTGTGTGTATACACACACACACACATATATATACATACCACATCTTCTTTATCCATTCATCCATCAGTTCATCAGAACTTTATAAAAGTCAGAAGAATAAAGGAAGAACCTAAATGTTTATTAATGTAATTGAAATTATAATCAGAAGATGAGATAGTTATTAGGTCATTTTTCAAATACTGTCTTTTAACAAGAAAATGCTCATTTAGTGTGAAATATAGAGTAGATCACAAAACCAAATAAACTATGACCAGAATTTTTTTTTTATTTTTATTTTTTATTTTTTTTCAACGTTTATTTATTTTTGGGACAGAGAGAGACAGAGCATGAACGGGGGAGGGGCAGAGAGAGAGGGAGACACAGAATCGGAAACAGGCTCCAGGCTCTGAGCCATCAGCCCAGAGCCTGACGCGGGGCTCGAACTCACAGACCGTGAGATCGTGACCTGGCTGAAGTCGGACGCTTAACCGACTGCGCCACCCAGGCGCCCCTATGACCAGAATTTTAAGAATGTATATGTAAAAATTTTAAATGCAAACCAAGTGAACATATAATTGGAAAGAAATGAACCAGGAAATTGACAGTTTACCCCAGATGCTGGAATTTCAGAGGTTTTTTATTTTACTCTTTATGCTTTTCTATAATTTCTAGGTGTTCTATAATAACTATGTATTGTTACTTTTTGTTTTTTTAATCGGGGGAAGATATTTTTTTTTTTTTTTAAAGTTTGTATTTAAATCCCAGTTAGTTAACATGCAGTGTAATATTAGTTTCAAGTGTACAATTTAGTGAGTCAACACTTCATACATCACCCGGTAGTCATCACAACAGGGGGAAGTACTTTTTAAGAAAAGTCCCTGGGGGCACCTGGGTTGTTCAGTGGGTGGAGCATCCTATTTGTGACTGGCTCAGGTCACGGTCTCACAGTTCGTGAGTTCTAGCCCTGTGTCGGGCTCGCACTGACAGTGTGAAACCTGCTTAAGACTCTTTTCTCTCTCCCTCTCTCTCTGCCCCTTTCCTGTTCACACCTACATTCGTGCTCTCTTTCTCTCTTAAAATAAACAAATAAATAAAAAAAAAATAAAAAAAAAAAAAAAAGAAAGTCCCTGGATTGACTATTTTAGAAACATATACCTGTTTTCATACCAGTCTGGCTCTTTGCTAATGTGTTTTCATTCAGTATTAGGAATTCGATGTAAGAGAAGCTTTATGTTCTAAATGAGAAGAAAAGCAAAGGCACAGGCATGAATTTTTTAGGTCAAGGCTCCTATAGATTTAATCCACAGGCTAATGTTTCCAACTTCTAGGCATAGAGTAGATCTTATCAATGAATTGGGCTTTTGTTGATTGCTCTAACCCCCATCCAAAAGCAAAAAGCCCCTTGTTTATACTCTTTGTTGGTGTTTACCATTGCTTCCTTTAAAGCAAAAGCAAAAACAGTGCACTTATCATTCTCTTCCACTAGCCATACTACATTGCACCTTCCTTGGAAGGAAGAAGGGAATGGCCATCTTTGTATTCTTAATAGCTGGACCTTTGTTCCTCAGTAGTTGGCCAAATAACTTGAAAAAATGTACAGTAGTCCCACCCCGCGCCGCCCCCCCCCCCACAATATAAAGATTTCCTGGACAAGTATGTCTTAAAATACCAGAGTTGATAGTAAAGAAAAAAAATGTTCCTCAAGGGCCCACTCCAAGCATCAGTGACAGGAAAGCAACCTATCAACAGCAGACTTTACATTTCACCTGATGATTCTGGACTGTTTTCACAATAGAACCATGTGTGAGCGTATAAATTGACATAGCTGGGGCACTTGGGTGGCTCAGTTGGTTAAGTGTCTGACTTTGGCTCAGGTCATGATCTCACAGTTTGTGAGTTGGAGCCCTGCGTCGGGCTCTCTGCTGTCAGCACAGAGCCTGGAGCCTACTTCAGATCCTCAGTCTCCTTCTTTCTGCCCCACTTGCAAGTGCTCTTTCTCAAAAATAAACATTTTTTAAAAATAAAAATAAATCGATGTAGCCATTTTAGAAGGACAGTTGGGCAACGTCCGTCAAATTGAAAGTGCACATCACCATTGCATTTCTAGAATATTCTCCAAATATTCTCACACAAAGTAGACAATCCTGTATGGACACATATCCTTATTTAGACTACTGTTAATATGTTTCTCAATAGGAGAGTGACTGGAATATCATGCTGTCATTTAGAATGAACTAGATCTCATTTAATAATTGTATTCGATGTTGTACAAATATTTGTATATTTGTATTTATGATGATGATGATAATGATGGCTGTTCTTTCATTATTTGTTTATTTTTATCTCTAGAAGTAGGCTGTACACCCAACGTGGGGCTTGAACTCCTGTTCCTAAGGTCAAAAGTCACGTGCTCTACCAACTGAGCCAGCCAGGTGCCTGAATGACAGCTGTTCTTAAGTATATATCATATGCCAGTCATTATGTCATGCATTTGACAGATTTTATCTAACAATTCTCATAACAACTATATGGCAGGCACAGTTATTGTCTACATTTTGCAGATGAGAGACTGAGGCACAGAGATTAAATAATTTACACATTACTTATAAGGGGCAGACCTGGTATTTGAATCCAGGTAGTCTGTGGTTAAAACAGTCTACATTCTTAACCTCTAAAATGCATATCCTAAAAATAATGCATATCCTCCTTTCTGCTGACACAGATCAAGATATATATTGAATAAAAAGCAGAATTAAATGCATGACATGCTGTACAGCATGCACCAGAAGAGTATAAAAGGAACAACAAACAGTGTCTTCTTACAAGGAGGGAATGGATGCCCTTTTACTTTGTTTTTTCTCTTGTGTGTGATTGAATAATAGGCATGTATAACTTAAACATTTTTAACTACAGTATCTGATCTTTTGAAAAATTACAATACTTGAGACAAGCTGTAGTCCTGAGTCAGGAATGTTCTATCCATCCCTACTTACCTACTTCAGTATAGAATTCATCTTGTTCTAATATCCTACCACAGTTCAAGATGATAGCTTTCTTCAAAATTCACTTTCAGGGGCGCCTGTGTGGCTCAGTCGGTTAAGTATCTGACTTTGGCTCGGGTCATGATCTTGTGGTTCGTGCTTGCTTGGGATTATGTCTCCTCCTTTCCTCTCCTCTCCTCCCCTCTCCTCCCCCCTCCTCCCACTCCCCCTTCCCCCTGCTTTTCCCCTGCTCTTATACACTGTCTCACTCTCAAATAAATAAACTTTTAAAAAATTCACTTCTGCTGGGATTTATTGTTTACCTGATCCTGCTGTCAGTACTTAAGTTTTTGATTGACATAGTACCTCATTTTTGTATTTTACCTCTTTAAATCACCTACATTTTTTGTTTCCCAAAGGATTTGAGACTGATTATTGTAAGATATAATTACAATTATGTATGCTAGAAGAGTTCTACAGTTGAGGAGTAAAGTCAACTTTTAGTTTCCTGGAAGTAGGAAAAAAAATTCTGAGTTCAGTAGTTCTTGTGATTTGACAAAAGGACACATAACCATTTTGTTTAAAAACAAAACAAAAATATTTTTTTTCTTTTTCTAAATTTGGAGATCTCTTTCATGGGCCCTTTTATGCAATTTATACTTTTCCAGTTGTTTTGTTGTTTTTGTCTACTCAACTGAATTATAAGCTTCCTTAGGACAAATTCCATTTCATTCCATACTATTTTTGTTCTATCTGTACCTAGAAAACACACCCTTTATTATGGTTGAAATTGTAAATTAAGCAACAGCTGCAGCCCAGCTACATTTCAAAGATTACGTTATTACCACTTTTCAAAGATTCAGTCTTTGAAACTTAGAAATTGATACTACTGTTCTCCTTCTCAGCAGGGAATCTTCTCTGGTCACCCTCAAAAATCAGTTTATTGTCTCCCTCTCTATCTGCCCGTCCCCTGCTCATGCTCGCTGGCTCTCTCTCCTTCAAAAGTAAATAAACATTAAAAAAATTTAAAGGGGGCGGGGCTCCTGGATGTCTCAGTCAGTTAAACATCTTCCTGCTTTAGTTCAGGTCACAATCTCACAGGTTTCAGCCCCGCGTTGGGCTCTGTGCTGACAGCTCAGAGCATGGAGCCTGATTCAGATTCTGTGTCTCCCTCGCTCTCTGCCCTTCCCCCACTCATGCTCGCGCTCTCTCTCTCTCTCAATAGTAAATAAACATTAAAAAAAATTTTTTTAATCAATTTATTTCTTGGTTCTTTTTGAGCCCCTGCTTATTGATTATGTAGTGTAAAGGAAATTTATTCAAACTTTTGTTTTATGACAGTTAAATATTTTTAAATACGGCTTATTGCTTTCAACCACCTTTTTCTTTCTCGTAGGTCAAGTTATCAAAGCATGGGACATTGGGGTGGCTACCATGAAGAAAGGAGAGATCTGCCATTTACTGTGCAAACCAGAATACGCATATGGCTCTGCTGGCAGTCTCCCCAAAATTCCCTCGAATGCAACTCTCTTTTTTGAGGTAAGTGTGTGTGTGATGTTGCCTTGTTAGCCTCTGTTCTAGTATAGTGCTGGCTCTGAAGCAACAGGCAGTGGAACAAGGAGCTAAGCTTGCTGTTGAGAATCAGATCCAACTTATTTATTTTGGAGCTTAGCTTCTTGAATTGTTTCCCACAAACCCAAGGGGTGTGTGCCAGTGCTTTCTTAGAAACGTGTTTCTGGCACTGAACGATCATATCCAAATAAACAAAAGACACCAGGCTTAAAAAGAAAGGTTCTGGTCAGTGGTGTGAGTATAACATACTCAAAGTTGACCAGAAGACAACATTGAAAATGTGGCAGACCAGTGTTGAAATATACCTAAACCAAACGGTAAGATACTTTCATATTATACAGGTTTACAATTTGTCACCGGTCTCGCTTCTTCATTAGAAGCAGTAGGTGGTGATAACATTATGCATTCTGTGTTGAATTACATAGATCTGTCCAAGTGTGATTAAAAAATTAAGGGAGGAAATGCCTGAAATGTCATAACTGGGTAAAACAAAATAAAACCAAAAAAACAAAAAACACCTTTAGTTGGTTGTAGGTCTGATTCATAGGATTTATTTTTACATTTACAAAAGGGAATTCCATGAATCTGGGGTGGAAAGGTGGTGGCCTCTAGAGTCAGACAAAATAGTTCAGGGCAGCACCTTGTAGCTCTGGCTTTTTGCCCACAAGGCAGCTTTCCTAGTATTTCCTGTCTGTCTTTGCACTGCAACCCCACAGGATGCAGTCCTAGACATTATCGTTAAGTGAAGGCTCTTTCCAGGTATTGAAAGTGCAGCGTTCTTTTTTTTCCTACTTTTCCAATAACTGAGATGCATAGATAAATATTAAAGAGTTTTATTTTGTAAAATGAAAGGAGAATCGGTTGTCCTTGTCTTTAAGTATGTTAAGCTGGCTCTGTTTGGTCTTTTCTCAGCCAAATCTTTTTTTCCTTTCTAGATTGAGCTCCTCGATTTCAAAGGAGAGGATTTATTTGAAGATGGAGGCATTATCCGAAGAATCAAACAGAAAGGAGAAGGATATTCAAACCCAAACGAAGGAGCTACAGTAGAAAGTAAGTATTGCTGTGACAGTGAACGAGTCCTTAAAATTGGGTTCCATTTACAGGGATAAAATGGAGATTTCTTTTTAAAAATCTAGAAATAATTAAATATAGCTCAACTCAAGAATAGTTTTAAATTCAACATTTACTTAATAATGACTTTATTTGGTAAATATTCATCCAACATGTCTATGCTAGGTATTTACTGTACCAGCTTCGGTAGACCCAGAAGATGTAATCCTACCCATCAAGTCCAAGTCTACGGACTCCATGGTGTACCAGCAACAATGTTAGTTGCCTTATGGATTTACTCATTTATTTCTCAAAATAACCTTACGAGATAAGATTTATTATCCCCAGGTGAGAAAAGTGAGTTCAGAGAAATTGCCCCAAGGTTACAGAGTTACTGAACAGAGCAGTTGGATTGTAATGTCCTTCAGAGCTCTCAAACCTGTCTCACTGGCTTGTCTCAAGATGAAAAAGTTCATCGTTTTAGTTAGATCAGAATTGGGTAATAGTGTTCATTCCATTCTCTGTCAGGAGATCTAGGTTCATGTTTTGCTTTGCCATTTATTGGGTGACTTACAGCTACTCCATTTTTTTTACTTGCTAAACTGGGGGGAAGGATACTCCCAAGGACCGATTACTTGATCACTCTTCCAGAGCACAATGTATGGACCATGGCGCCCACCGCTTGTCACTTTGTATTGTAGTCAGTGTTTGCCCATTTCTCCAGTAGACAGCTTGAAGCCCAGAATCTTTTTAAGTCTTTTTGTTTCCAGCATTACCTACAGTGCCCTACACACATTGGGTGTTCGGTAGGTGCTTTCTGCATGGATAGATGTTTGAAAGACGCCATTCACTGAGCTTGAAGTACCGTTAAAAAGAGAGTCATGAGAAAACATAGAAAAATACTTCCATTAAGAAAACAGAGTACTTGACAATATGAACTATTATAAAAGGCCTATTTAAAATAAAGAGTTCATTTAGAACAGTAAACTAGAATGGTTGATTTTCTTATCTTTACCATTTGTATATTCTACTTGAGATGCATGTTTCATTCCCTTGGGTCTGGCAAATTAGTTCAAATTGAGTTACTTATTTAGTTGGAAACAGTTGTAAATAGTATTACTGTACTATTGCTGTTGAAGTCTTTAGGTAGCAATCATTCCTGGTAAGTTTTAGAATAAATGAAGAGGAGCTCAAATGTATAATGTTGGAGAAATACCTAGCCCAGGAGCCAGAGACAGGATTCTAGCTTCAGCAGACTCTAACTAGCCCTTGCCTTTCTGGGCTCTGGCTTCCTTTACGATGACACAGGGGTAGACATCTCGATTTCTAAGGTCCTGTTAGCCCTGAATGTTCCATGATAGAATTCTAAATGTTTATGAAAGTGACCAGAATGACAGATCATCATCTTCAGCACATTAACAAGTATGTAAGAAGGTTATCTGTAACAGGTATTTAAATTTTTTATTATGAATATTTTCAAATATCAAAAAAACCAGAGGTTTTTTTCCTATGATAGAGTAACTCCCAGATTCAGCAATTTATAATATATATTTTTAACCTGGAGGCTTTTGTCAACCAAATTAAAAAGAAAAACTTTTCCCAATTTTAGGCAATGCCACAAAACTACCATTGCAGAGTTAACTTTGGGGCAGGCTAAATTAAATCCCATCTTGCTTTTGGTAGTATTTTTGGTGGGAGTCCTTATTTTTAACTTTGTTTTGAAATCATTTTCGCCTTACAGACAAATTGCGAAACTAGTACAGAGAATTCACTTATATGCTTCATCCAGCTTCCCCTAATGGTAACATCATCCCTCACCACAGTGCTGCATTTATCAAAATCAGGAAATTAACACCAATAAAATACTATTAACTATTAGGGGTGCCTGGGTGGCTCAGTTGGTTGAGCGTCTGACTCTTGGTATTGGCTCAAGTCATGATCTCATAGTTCGTGGGATCAAGCCAGTGTCAGGCTCTGCACTGACAGAATGGAACCTGCTTGTGATTCTCTCCCTCTTTCTCTCTGCCCTTCTCCCTCTCACGTACGTGTGCTTTCTCTCTCTCTTTCTCAAAATAAATAAACTTTAAAAAATACTGTTAATATTATTCTACAGATCTTGTGTGAGTTTCCTCATTTGCCGTACTGATGTCCTCTTCTGGTCATGGTCAGATTCAGGATCCAGTGCTATATTTTGTCCCTCTAGTAGTAGTCTCCAGTCTGTGACAATTATCAGTCTTCCTGTGTTTTTTCATGATTTTAACACTTTTGAAGACAACTGGCCTATTTAGAATATATTTCAATTTGGGTTTATCTGATGTTCTCCATGATTAGATTGGAGTTAAGCATTTTTTTTTTTTTTTTTTAAATACCATGTAAGTGATGCCGTGCCTTATCAGTTCATCATTATCAGGAGGTACATGATATTGATGTTAACTTGGGTCACTTGGTTAAGGTGGGATCTGCCATGTTTCTCCTTGTAAAGTTGCTATTTTTGCCTTACTAAGTATCTCTTTGGGAGGGATCTAACTACTAGGAGACCATGCAGGTGTCTTTTGCATCACATCTTCACACACTGATCCATGAATGTTGTGTTTTTTTTTAAGTTTATTTATTTTGAGAGAGAGGAGAGCACAAAGCAGGGTGGGTAGGGTAGAGAGAGAGAAGTGGGGGAGGGGGGAGAGAGAATCCCAGGCAGGTTTCATGCTGTCAGCAGGAGATCAATCCCATGAACCATGAGATCATGACCTGAGCCAAAATCAGGAGTCAGACATTTAACTGACTGAGCCACCCAGGCGCCCCTGATCCATGAGTGATATTTCCATGCAACAGTTATTACTGTAGGATTTGCCTAATGGTGATTTTTCTATTTCCACCGTTCTTTCTACAATTTAATTGGAATTCTGCCATAAGGAAGATCTGCCTCTTCTTCCCTGTTTATTCAGTTATTTATAATAGTGTAGAGTCATTGGTATTTATTTTATTCTGTAGGTTATTATTCATTGCTACTCTTACTTTGTTGGTCAGATTGTCCCAGATTTGGCCATTGAAAGGTTCTTAACCTAGCTTTTGTGTCTTTTCAACAGACATCCTTTTTTTTTTTTTTTTTTTTTTAATGTTTATTTTTGAGAGGTGGGGGCAGGGCAGAGAAAGGAAGACACAGAATCCAAAGTAGGCTCTAGGCTCTGATCTGTCAGCACAGAGCCCGACACGGGCCCTGAAGGAACACGAGGTCATGACCTGAGCTAAAGTCAGACCTTTAACCCACTGAGCCACCCAGGCACCCCCCTCCTTTGTTTTTTAAGCACTTCCTTACTTTTGGTACAAGATGCTCTAGGCTCATTTTGTAGCTTCCCCACCCCAGGGCTGGAATCAACCATTTCTCCAAGGAGCTCTGATTTCTTTTATTAGAAAACAGTATTTAGAAACCAAGATCTGGGTGCCGGGTATCCTCACACTGTGGAACATTATTGCTTCTTAACTTGACAGAGCTGGGAAATAGATGTACCACAGAAGGCACGTGTACACAGCTTTACGTGTTCTCTATTAGCTGTACGTGTTCTCTGTTAGTCCGTATGTCTATTAAAAGCTAGGAGCACATACTCATGCCTGCAGTTCCGATCCAGCACCTCATGTTCATCCTTACCTTCTCCCTTCACTTATTTAAAACTGCTTTCTCCAGCAGTGAGAAACCTCTCTCTCCTATCCACGATGTATTTGTTTATTTGCTTAATTGTAGTTTACACAGAAAGTAGTTTCAAAATTGCTAACCCACACCCCTTCAAAAAATGCACTTCGTAAACGCAGGAAGTATTTGTGTAGAAGTTCCTGTAGTCACCAGCCTTAGAGCATACATTGAAAACACTGTTTTCCAACTTAGGTTAGTTCTGTGTTCTCACTCCCTTCAGTGTGGTTATGTTATTTATTTATAACGCAGTTATGTTCATTTGTTATGTTTGGATGCCATTTAGGGTCACCCCCCACACTCCGGTTGCTTTTAACTATTTATTTGTGTTTGGGGTAGATGAAACAGTGCCATGGTTCTAAACTAAACAAAAAGATATACACAGAAGTGTTATTCCCCCGTCCTCTGTACTAACCGGTTCCCATTTCCCCATTATTTCCACCTTCCTTCCTGCCTACCTCCTGTAGGTCACCAGTCACATTTCTTCTTGGTTTATACTTCTTGTGTTTCTTTTACAGAAATGAGCAGGTATCTGTATTTTTTTCTTTTATGTCCCCTTCCTTTTTGTACGGAGGGTAACATACTATCGATGGGTTTTAAAAAAAAATACTTGAATAATTCTTTATCTAATTTTGCTTTTTCTGTTTCCTAATATCTTAAAAAAGGGTAATGACTAATCTTTTGTCTCTCATCTTGTTAGATTTTACTTTCTGGAAAGTTTAGAGTAAATGGTTTATTTTTACTTTTTTCATCCAAAAGCCCTATTTGGTTTTCTGGAACAAATCAATTTTATAAAAACATATTGTATTTTCACTTATCCCTCTTTGAAACAAGTTCACTGTGTGTGGGAGGAGGACAGAAGGTTGACTTAAAAGTGGTGCCTGTCAAGGGCACCTAGGTGGCTCAGTCAGTTAAGCATCCAACTCTTGATTTAGGCTCAGTCATAATCTCATGGTTCATAAGACCAAGCCCCACGTCGGGCTCTGTGCTGACAGTGCAGAGCCTGCTTAGGATTCTCTCTCCCTGTCTCTCTGTCTTAAAATAAACAAACATTAAAAAAAAAAAAAAAAAAGTGGTACCTGTCAGAAACCACAAGCACTTTGTTCTTTTAAAGTCTTCTCGGGGCGCCTGGGTGGCGCAGTCGGTTAAGCGTCCGACTTCAGCCAGGTCACGATCTCGCGGTCCATGGGTTCGAGCCCCGCGTCAGGCTCTGGGCTGATGGCTCGGAGCCTGGAGCCTGTTTCCGATATTGTGTCTCCCTCTCTGTCTGCCCCTCCCCCGTTCATGCTCTGTCTCTCTCTGTCCCAAAAATAAAAAG